CACTCCTTAGAAATTTTTGTTTTGGCATTCTTATGATACTTGTCTAGTTGATGGCGTTCGGTTATCCCTTGTACGCCCTTCGCTATCTTGGGAAATTACGATAGTTATCACCCGAGGCGCAGACCTAGCGGTCTCACAAACCCTCCTGCGGAGGATCTGTATATAGAAGAACTACCAGCAGTGTCGTGGTATGGTAGTCTGTGAAAGGAATCGATTGCGATGATTCGGCGGTATTGAGAAAAATCACTAGGGGTGGATAAACCGGCTGCTTGCCGATATCCCACCCATTGGCCTCTAAGGAGCCGTGCACCGCTATTCACAAAATACAAGACAGATATTAACAAATAATAGAAACGAGGGGCAAGGAACAAGATGACATGGACAACGTCTAACCGGAACCCCAAGGAAATAAAGGGTGAAGAAAGAAAGGAAAAAAAGAGATAAATGGCAAACAGTCAGCTTAAGCCGGGAAAAGCGCCCATTACCAAAGCCTATTTACATCGGAATCAAGGAGGCAATAATGTATGGAAACCCAATAAGAATACGTCCGGTAACGAAAGAGGAAGCATGCAAGGGAGAAAGGCTAAAGAAAAATAAAAGAGCCAACGATAAAATCCAAGCAGACGGTAGTTGACAGGGTTGGTCCGGTGTTGTTGGCACGATTCAATTTTCCTTGGAGAATACCAGAACTTCGGAGGCCATATAGAAGGGGCGAGTGAGCCAGGATGGTTTTGAGGAGAGACCGATATCTGTATACTAGGAAACAGAGCCGTTAAGTCCAATACTCCTCCCGCTCATCAGGGACTCCCGGTAGGAGCACATGTTGGCCACTAGCGTCTGCGAGGTTGGTATTAAAATCATCACCCCCTGAATCTCATCCGTGCTACACGGGTCTCGATGCCTAGTAGAGGGTGTGCGGGATGCTGAGGTAGCATATTCTACCGTGCTGGTATTGAAATTGTCTTGTTTAACTAGGATCCTTATGACTTCATCATGCCCTCTAGAGAGGGCCCGCGACGACAGTTTTTTGCTCCCGTTATCTGGAGTGGTGTGCAGACATCTCTCCGCTCTAAAAGCAGCTTCACTACCCCTTCATGTCTGCGATCAGTGGCCCATGAGAGTGACATCTGGCCATATTTGGTATCTACCATATTAGGATCGACATCCCCCCGCTCCAAAAACACCTTTACTACCCCTCGTATCCTCCCTCAGTCACCCAACAGAGTGGTGTCCGGCAACATTTAGTGTCCGGCGCATCGGGATCGATATCCTCTCGCTCCAAAAACACCTTTCTTACCCTTCGTGCCCAGGCCCAGCCGCCAAACAGAGTGGTGTCCAGCCTCATTTGGAGTCCCCCGTATTGGGATCGATATCCCCCCGCTCCAAAAGCACCTTTACTATACCCTCATGTCCGCTCTCAGTCACCCAACAGAGTGGTGTGAATCCATATTTGGTGTCCGCCGTATTAGCACTAACATCCTCTCTCTCCGAAAGAATTTTTACTACCCCCTCATATCCGCGCTCAGCCGCCCACCAGAGTGGTGCCCGGCCACATTTGGTGTCTGCCGTATTAGGGTTGATATCCGCATGTTTCAACAGCGCACTTACGACCTCCTCGTGTCCTCTTCCCGCTGTCCATGTGAGGGCCGTACTTCCCATGCAATCGGTTGCATTTACATCCCACTCCTTCATATTTATCACAGCAGCAGCTATCTCCCCCATCCCAAGAATTGATACTCCGTGGAGTCCTATAAACCCACTAGGCCCCGAGCCGAAGTAATAAGGGCCCGAGCTCCTATCCCGATTATATTGCAATAACATCAATTGTGCAGATATACGCTTATCGAACCTACGGAGAAGCCTCAGTGCAAGTATTTTCCACTATGTCCGTCATCCCCCTTCTTGTGTGATTCCCCCAATAGCAAGAAGCATATTCTAGAAGGGGCATGGTTGAGGGGGCCCACTTGACAGTTGGTGTAAGACACCAGACACACCAAAAATTGAGTTAAGTCAAGCAAACTTCCGTAATTATTGCGTGGGGACTACGGAATAGGGTCGGATCACTTAAGAGATGCTCTTGCTCTGTCGACTGTTACAAGACCCAGAGAAGATGCTAGCAGTGTCCGTAATGCTGGAACATTTTCAGGATCCAGATCTGCGGATCCCATCTCGACTCCCAAGGCATGACGTAGCTCCTCACTCCGTAATGGTCGTTCGGAATACAACACCCATATCAGGAGCTTAAGTCAGAGTGCTGACTTGTTTCCCTTCTGAGACTTCAGTCGGGTTAAAGTTGCTGTGCCTCCGCCGCTCAGTCCACTGCCTTGAGTTATCATTTCAAGCCTTTTCTTCTTTGACGAATTGTCACCTCTCACAGAATAGAGCCGATGTTTAGCGAAACAAGTAAGAACCAACACATAGCGGTTGGTCAGTATACACCATCAATAGAGTGGAAATTCTGAAATGCTCCTACGCACACATCCGATATCTTTTCTGGGATAATTCTAATAATATCCGCCCGTAAACCATCGCTCATCGCCTCTGGCTCGTCACACCTGTCTAACCTAATCTCCATATGGCTCTCAATATCATCCGTGTCAGAACTGATGGGTATTACAACCGCCTTAGTGAAATATCTTTGAATATCATCTCTAAGATGGGGCCTCCCGGTGAGGAATATTCGCGTCGTGGGGGACTCCCGAGTAATATCTCTCAATAACCTAAGAAGCTCTGGCAGGTTCTTCGGCAGACACTCATCTAACGCATCGACGCAAGTGACAACCCTGGGTAGAGAGCCAATAGCGATCCTTAACATTCCCATCAGATCCGGGAGCCTCTGCCCTCTCTCCCCCCAAAATCATTTTCCCCTTCATGAAACGCCTCGCGCACATATTCCGGAATGTCCCCTCTGCCTACCAGCTGCCCCAGAATAGCTCCCATCATACTAGTGATGGTCTGCTCTTGCTGGGAAAGGTAGTCGCAGTACAGGCCCGCAACGGCGGTATCTTCCCTCATTGCCCGATCGCACAGGCTGCCAATCACGAGGGAACTAGTATTTCTGGCCGTCAGCGATATTCATTTCTCCCAATGGATCCCACCACTTACCCCAGATATATCTTGCCCACTCCCGGATTCCCGTTGCAAAACAAAGACAGCCTTATCAGCTCCACCCCCATTACTCCTCCACTCCCGAAACCCACTCTCTTCCAAAAGCCAGTCCCCGACACCGTCAAATCGCTCGGTGCGCACGGCTTGGTGTCTCTTATTTGGTTCCAGCGGAGAAAGCCAATGCATAATCGGCGCGTCTTCGTCCGACTTATAGACGGTGTTATTGAAACTATTCGTTATGTTGCCGCTGTGAGCATTGCCATCGCCCACGCGGACCGATGGTATATGTGTAGTCTGGGCCATGATATTCTGTGGGGGGGTGTTGGTTGAATGTAGAAAGGGTTCAACAATTTCCAGGCGTACTGAGGGGCTTTATGAACTCTCTACAAGCGAGGCTGAAAAAAGCGGGGGCGATGGATTCAACCTATTGTACTCGTACAAGCATGGTCATTATGGTATCGGTAATCCAATCATTCCATTTGGGAAGGGTGCAGTGAAGTACAGTACGAAGTACAAGTACCCCACAAATATCGTATTGTAACACCCTCGACTTGACCAGGAACCGAGAATTCAATCCTTGACGAATACTTGAGTACTCAAGTACCGGTACTTGTAGACTACATGGTTTTTTTAAAAAAAATACTCCGGGTAGCGGGCGCACTCCCCCGACAACCCGTTTGCGGATCACTCCATTGAGGCTCTTTTCTATAATACGAGCATTGCTATATAAATGAAAATAAATTACAGTTGTGCCACACCATGTGATCTGGCGAGCTACGCGGCCCGTGAGTGTCCATCGGTATAAATATATTCCGGGCTAGGAAAGCTAGAATTCTGATCCGGGATTGGCGTTACTATACCTTTTTATTTTTATTGCCCGAGTGTGTGTTTTATCCCGCCCTAGTAGTCATTTTGGGAGGATCCGGAGTAGGCCGGTAGGGCATGCATTAATACCGGTATATCTACAAGTACTACCGGTAGCATGAATGGAGAGTGTAGTGAGTGGAGTGCGGCATTCTTGCCAGGCTATGGAATCACGGGTATAAAAAGGACTCCCCTGGGAAAGCAATTGAGAGAAGCTCCTCAGATTCTTCAGGATAGTCCCTGACTCCCGTATGTTCACCACCACCGTTCGCCCATCTCGCGATGAAATCTCTGGTCTACAGCTTGACCTTGACGGCCATGGGAATCATGGCTAACGTCTTCCACGGAAGCGTCGCGCCTGAGAACGGAATAATCCCTTCCAACGCGGTCTACAAGAACCCCGAAAGCGCTTGTAGAGGACCGAGTCAAGGGCCTTCTCTCCCACATGATACTGGGGGAGAAAGTGGGCTAGGTGGTGCAGGGTGACATCTCCTACCGTATTGGCCGAACCTCGCAGACGGAAGCTTCAACCGCCCCGGTCTGGTGGGTAATCAGTTGTTATCAGATAGGTATTCACGTCTTCTTTATCGGCAACGCCACAATATTCAATCCACCAATCGGGTATGCATCCGCTTTCGACCCAGATGTAACTTCCCCTCCTCCAATCATGTAACGTCGTGGCTAACGTAATATTTCCCCCCCAACTTGTCCAAGAGATAGCCAAATGATTGCACTGGAGTCCCCAGCCCTAGGAATAACTTTAACCCACCTCCTTGCACCGGTGCTCAACCTCTCCCTCGATCTCCCCTTCGGCAGAGTTGAAGAGATGTTCGGCGAGGACCCGTACCCTTCTGGAGAGCTAGGGTACTCATTCGTTAAAGGGTTGCGGAAGAACGGTGTTGCGGCTACCGTTAAGCACTTCGCGGGATTCGGAACTCGGGAGTAGGGATTGAACGCTGCGCCCGTCCATGGCGGCGAGAGGGAGATGAGGAGGATGTACCTACCAGCTTTTAAGAGGTCGATTATTGATGAGGATTCCTGAAGCGCTGCGAGTCTTTATCATTCGTTATTACCCCGGGCGCAATATTGCGATTGAAGAGTATGGACTAGCGAGTACGGGTGGGCAGGTAGGATGGTGTCCCTGCAATGGCAGATTATCATTTACTTACTGAGGTCCTAAGATGAGAGTAGGGATTCAAGTATCACGTTATGAGTGATGTAAATGTTTCCCTTCACTCAATTGATACCCACCGCAATCTAACCCTCCCCCGCTTTTTTTAGGCCGGGAGCTCTGACAAACCGTTCAACGACCACGGCCACTACGAGCCAGGTGACAAGCACGCGGTAAAAATGCTCGCACAAGAGGCCAGCAATGATGTGGAAATGGGCGGTGGAACCTTAAAACTATTCCGTGCCACCCCCGATCTCCTCCAAGACAGAACCCTAGAACAGAATGTCCTCGACACCGCCACCTCCCGCGCCCTCAGATCAAAATTCACCAGGAGGTTCTCCGAGAACCCCTCTTCCGTCGCACCACAAGAGAAGTGGAAAACGGTTAAGCCAGCGAGGCGGATAGGCCGGGAAAGTATCGTGCTTATTGAGGAATAATGGGGTATTGCCTATTGACAGGGAGAAAGTCAAGAACATTGCTGTTCTTGACTTATGTTCCATGGGTTTATAAATGTTTGTTTTCCTTCCTTGCTTCCATGGGACTATTTTTCCAATTAGCCTTGGGTGCGGCGGCAGTATGGAGTCTGCGTTGTTTATCTATCTCAATACCGAGGTGTAACACCTTTCGACAGCACCAAGAATCTATTCAAGGAGACATCTACGACAGTGACATACGCCCAGGGCTGTGAGCGCTGGAGTAACGACAAGAGCAGTTCCCCGGAGGCTATCAAGGCAGCAAAAGAAGCGGAAGTGGCAGTAGTAGTCGCTGGAACCTGGAGTCGTGACCACCAAGAGCGCTGGTGCAGCTTCCACGCAACTTACACCTCCCCCCCCCCCATTAAACCTACCTAACAAAAAGGCAGATCATAGAACAGGAGAAACCTCGTCGGTGCGCAGGTCGATCTAATCTGAGAAATCCTAGCGGTCAACACGGCAGTAGTCTTCTCCAGCGGCAAGCCCATAACCGAACCCTAGACAGGCACCTCCGCTGCCGCGCTGACAAGGCAATCCTACCCAAGCGAGGAGGGCGGCAACGCCCTCACGAATGTGCTCTCCTGGAAATACAACCCCTCCGGCAAGCTCTCCATCTCCTTCCCTCCCGCGGGACGTGGGCACCTACCTCGCCGCCGTACTGCGACTACCTCAAGGGCAGTAGGTTTAACCCCCTAGGGCAAGTTGCACGAGAACGGAACGATGATCTTCGGACACCAGTACGTGCTCTTGTCGCTGCTACCGCTGTAACTCTTCGGTTACGGCAAGAGTTACACCACTTTCCAGTTCTCGGATGTTACTATAGACAAGGTCAACGTTAGATCACGCTCTGGAAACCGTGATCGCAGAGCTGAATATTAGGAATAACTCTACCCGCTATGGGACGGAGGTCGTGCAGTTGTACGTCACTGATAAAATCGCTTCGGTCGTCACGCCGAACAAGGAGCTCAAGGGCTTCCTCAAGGTCTTCCTACACGCCGGGGAGGGGAAGATAGTGCGCATTCCCGTTGACGTCTCCGAATTGGGCGTTTGGAATACGGAGAACTGGTATGTTGTTGAAAAAGGGGAGTTTGTCATTGTGGTTGGGGACTCGGCGGAGGGTATTAAATCGCGGTCTCCGTTTTGGGTGATCTGATTAGCGGTGGAGAGGGGGGGTATGGTATGACAATACAGTACAGTAGTCTATAGAAAAAGGAGATCACAATTTGGAGAAAGTGGGAAGTATCGAGTGAGACTTTGTGAATATATCAGCCTCATTATACCACACACCTCCCTCAAAAAGAATGAACGAAAATAAAATCCAGGACAATCCCAACCGCTCACACTCACGCTTGCCCACACCCAAGATTCGTGTATACTATCCCCCGATCCATACCTGAGTACAACAAACAACACACCACAGCAAGCAAGGCCCACGGGAGCGAACAGCAACCTGGACCGAACGGTAGATAGGTAACGAAGTACGGCACCCCAACTGCCTACCTGTCTGCCCACCCACCATAGAACAGCATAAGATCCAGACCAGTCTATTCCATAGATTGCTAGCTAGCATGGGAACTCTACTAGTCTGGTTCGCTCGTTCGTGTCGTTCGTGTTACGTCGTGACGTATATGATGATAAGAGCAGCCAAAACACCCAGAGTGGCAGATAATAAACGTGACCCGAAACGGTACTGTATGACGACCTATAATAGTAGCATAGCATGACCCGAGTACCGTACCGCAAGATCATCATCACCATGGGGTACTATAGAATGGAGAGAAGAAAAGAGTAAACCCAACTGACCCAGCGCTGAGTTTCATGAAAGGAGATACCTGAAACACCCCAAACCTGGCAACCCTCTCCCAATGAAAAGCACGAGAGATAAAAACACTCCGAACCCATGACGATAGTGAAAAGGAAAGCACAATTCAGACGATGATTAGGAAAAGAAAAGAAAAGAGACAAACGAGTCCGCCCTCCTTCAGCTTCACCCCGCGTTGTGTCCGCCAATCACCCAAATTAACGTGGTATCATATTCAATAAATCTCCCACACGCCCAAATTGGAGTCAAAGATAAAGGAGGGAAAAAAATCTAAGCAACCCTTCTGAAAAACGCTTCAAATTCCTCCTTCGTACGGAATGGAACCTTTCTCCTCCGTGAGCTTTCCAAACTATCCGAATCCGTGCTAGGGCTTGCCGAGAGTGCTGACCCTGGGCGTGAAGCCTGAAAAGTACCTTCCTCCGGTGTCAAAAGCGGTGTTCTAAACCCCTCGATGTTGCTTGGAGGCTCCGGGCACAGAAATCGCCAGTTTTCGGGGAAGACCCCCAAGGGCGGATTCCCCCCGTCCAGAACACGCATATCCCCCCCAAACGGGCTCCGTAAGAGGCTAATGATGAACTGAGTCACCGGATCGGTATCTGTAAAGCGTGGGCACTGGAATCGCCTAAAATCCTGATGAGGGGACGTGCGTAATCGCTTTGGGGGGGGATTTCCTCCGGAGGATGAGGACGACGAAGATGAAGGGGGGGTAGCGGACTCGATAGAGCGGCGGATAGAATTTAGAATGTCCAGGTACCGCTGGGCAACATTATCGTATGGGGCACAAAATTTGAGAGCCTCGACGCATTTAGCGAGTAGCTCATTATCCTGATCACCAACAGTAGAATTGGTGGTCTCCTGACATCGGCGAGCAGCCAGACAAAGAGAAACAATCAAACCAGCGGTGTAGGCAGATTGACTGTTAAGGGAAAATTCAGCATGGTTAGTCAGCATGGGGCAATAACCGAAAGGAGCAGCGAAAGCATCCAGCACTTACATCGCAAGCCAGCATCGCCGTACCAATCGCCCCTCTGAATATATTAGTCCTATCACCTTGAGGGCGAGTTAGCGCATCATACGTGCCAACGAAATCAATCGCATGGATTAGGGATCAAAACCGTTGCAAGCTGTCTGCCGGCAGAAACACACATTTGGGCATATTCGTCCGCTAACCCGCTTCTCGCATCGTCAGCGGGAGGATCATGCGTTGCACACAACTCAACCAAAATTTTTCGACTCATCAAAACAATGCAGCCCAGATAAGAGCAATGCGTCAACAACACTGCAGACCGCTGCTTAGAATCGTTAACGCTCCGAGTGAGTCTAAAGGATTCAGGGAGGGAAGACTGCCAAGCCCTTAGCTTCTTCGAGTACTCAGCAATGGACGCAAAGTCTGTGGCCGCGGGTGCATAGATATTCTTTGTAATCGTGCCCATCAAGATGCCGAGCTTGATCAGCTCCGAGTGAAGATATGCGTCGAAATCATTGGTGCAGGTTCGATAGCCCTGCAACACACAGATAAACACCGCATCAGACAAAAAAGCATAAAAAAGTCGAGCAAGAGAGCGTCTTCCGCGGAGGGGCTCGGGGAACCTTTTGCAACAATAATGGATATAGTAATAATGAGGATTTCTTACTTCAGCATATATCGGATCCTCCCCAGGAGCAATTTTAGGCATTATCCCTATACTAGATGCCATCCACCTGTTTATCGAAGCCAGTACCACCGCTATTAGCGTTCACAAACATCCCAATAGCCCTCCGTATTTACTTTTGCTTCCGGCCCCGCAAGCAGACCGGAGCTAGGTAAAAGGTAAAAAAATAAAAATAAAGGTATCGTAAAACGTAAGGTCTACACACCCGTCTAAAAATATCAGAGACCTCCATACCCTCCTCCAAGAAGCCCATTCTCGTTCGCTGTAGGGTTTGCACCTCGTCGTCCGATTAACCCCAGTGGATTTTGCTAAGCGAATCGCTTGATCTGTTCGTGCATAAAGAAAGGAGATCAGCAACGGAGCCCGACCAGCGAATACAACAGTAACTAGGGAGGAGTGAGTGGATATCCATACCTAGATAACCCACGGCAAAGAAGGATTTTTCAAAGATTAGGAACAACCCAACAAGCATTGATACTCTCATTTTCCTCAGCGCATCCACATCCTTCCCACACTCAATGTCTAAGTACCATTTCGCACTCCTGAATAGAGCCATGGTGGTATCGCTCCCAACATCTTCATACTGGGCACCTACGGCAATAATGGCTAGAAGTTCGCAAAGCTTGGGGGTGTTGGGCTCCAAATTGGGGGTGTAGATGTCACTGATGAGCTCCATAGCTTCATATTCAGCGAGAACATAGATCAGGGAGCTCGTCCCGCGGATAAAAGCCGAGAGAAGACGTGAAGTGATTTCGAGTGGTGGAAGCTCACGGGGAGAATAAAATGTGTATCTGGAGCTGGTAAGAGACGCCGGTGATGGGGATGCGAGCTTCATCTTTTCCCTCACTGAAGCTGCCATGATTGAATCGGTGAAGGAATTCCTGTCCTTGGTGGCGTGGTTTTGGTTATGGTTGCGATTGCGATTGCAAAGGCAGTTTGATGGCGGAGATGCAGCTCCCAAGCCAGCATCGGAGGGAGCTGGAGAGCTGGCCATAGAGCTGGATACCGACATGGCGGGCTGTTGGGTGCGCATACAAAACGTAGTTCTCGAGGGTTGTTACTTTCCGAAAAGAGACAAACACAATTCTTGTTCCGGTCTCTCTCTTTTTACTTTCCCCCCTAAAAGAGAGCATAAAAAAGCAGTGTGATGTGGTGAACTCAGGATAGGACAGACTAGATTCAGGTTTGTTTATTGATGAGTTATCGTGGTCGTGTGATGATTCGAGTGGCCGGAAAAGTGATCTTTTTTTGCTTCGGGAAGAAATAAGGTATTTTCTTCCCTCCTCTCTTCCCTTTCTTCCATCTCCCCCACTTCAGAGGTGGAAGCCTAGGCACATATATATACGCAATACTAGTTTTCACCACCAAGAGTGGGGCTCGGAGGGGTTGGCAGGAAAGGGTGCCAAAAGGACTAGGTCTGCGTTGTTGGGAGGGTATTGAGACGATTCGAGCAGACATTTGGTGTGAAAAAAGGAAAACGCACGATAGTTTGATATGAGGTAGACGGTATTCGTTGGATATTTTTTTTTTCTCTCCCATATTTCACTTTCCACCCCTCCCCCACATCCCTTTTCTTTTTCTCCCTATTCTTCCTCCCTACCGTATGCAATATTCGAGTCCGGTACTCTGACCGCATGAGCACGGCCAAGAACACCCAAGAACACCCACCCACCTGGGTCTGTCGCTGAATCCAGCTACTCGCTCAAACGTCTCATGTGTGCACTGCAAGGATGTCGCTCGCTTGCTTCCGATACCCGATTCAGATCTTCAAATTTGTTCAGATGTAGCCTTTCTTTCCTCACCGGTGCGGCTATGAATACCACCGCCAGTGCTGGTCGCCCATGGCTGCCGGTTGGGAAGCCTTTCTAGGGAATACCGGGGCTTCCTCCCACCCCCCTTTTCTTTCTTTCTTTCTTTCTTTCCTTCCTTTTTTCCTCCCTATTGACCCCTCTAGCATCGTGTCACGCTACCACCAACGACCGTGGCAAACTTGTACGAGTAGTTGATGTGGAATCGGAGCCGGTTGAATGGGCTGGGTGGAATTGCTGGAAGACCAAGTGTCGGGGTACCGTACTCGTAGTGTCTCAATTCACCAGCTTTCCCTCCCGTATGACCGGTAATAGTACTTCCCCCCTCCTTGAGTGAATAACGATGCTAGCGCAGGTTAATCCCCAAGCTGATAAATATTTTCCACCAAATACGGTATGACGCACGACGGATATCTGTATAAAAAAAGTACTGACACCGGTATCACAGTGTTTCAGTAGACTATCCAGTCAATCGATAAAACAAAATGGGACAGCGGGTGCATTTGCTCAGCCTCCCATGTGATTCACATTCTAGCAATTCCACTCTCGAGCTCCCCTCCCAAATCCACCCAACCAGCCAATATCCTTATGGCTTTTGCAATAGCTTTGCAACAACTTCTCATGGGCTGCTTTTTAGAAAACAGTCCATCTCCGGACCGGCCTAGGATTACAGCGGTCCCCAAGTCGACGCCTTTGCATTGGGTTGCGTATTGTATTTCATGCATAATATCAGAGAAGCTCAAACGAGTATGTAAGGCCGTGCTGTGCACTACCGCACATACAATGCGGTGCTCGTGATCAAAAAAGGTGAGCGGAGTACTGTACCGGGACCATAGGTTTTACTTTTCCTTCAACATCATTTACTGGTATTTACGCATGCCAAAGACACGGTACGGCGAAACAATAGAACCCATCTATCACTAAGGTCCAGAATGCTTGTTATATGATACGTGTACAAGTACAGGTACCTTGTACTTGTAACCTTGGGGCTACCATACCATATGAACCCACTGAACAAATGAGGGTAATGATAGGTTAATTGGAATGGGAAGCAGGTCTGTCAGTCGGTTGACGATCGCCTCCCTCGACAAGAACAAGGACAATGCGGACTATCCATCTAGTGTAGTTTGCGGGTCTAGGGGAAGAAATAAAATAAGGTTCCATCCATCCATCCATACCTTACCCATTCACTCATCCCACACACAGCCGCACACCACAGAGCAGCAACCACAGCAACCACAGGCAAACCAACTCAACCACAACAGGAGAGTCCTGCCGCAACGATATTTACAGTACCAGTATATCCGCATTCGTAAAGTTCTCGTGCCCACCCCTGTACCTCGGAAACTGTGGCGACCAACAACAAGGGAGCAAGGAAAGCCTTTTTAACCTTTTAACCGACTGTTCTTAGAGCATCCCTTCACCATGGATCATGGAGCAATTACTTGTACTAACCTGCCAAACGCCGTCCCAATAAATGAGCCCGTGAAACCCGGCCATTTGATGGTGGTCCTAGTTTGGGGCGCCGTCAAGACAAGCTTCTACTCGAGAACTCGAACTCTACTATGCGGCGTGATACACTCCCCACAATACTCAGGCTCGTGCGCTGCGGGTCTATCGTCTCAAGTCAGGCGCGCAGGAGATACTCCAGACATTCTAATAAACTAACTAACTGCAGTTCCACTAGTCACCACTTGCACCTATCAACAGACCCCCAGACCCATTATACACGTACAGCACTCGAGTAGTCCATACACAAAATCTCAACCCCACACTCGGGGCTTAGTTCCGGCCAAATTGGAATCTGCCAAAGGGTTTCACAAAAAGACTCCCCTCTTCCTATCATACCGTCTGCCGCGTAGGACTCGTACTATTGCCCCAACCCTGACCTTGTGCTGGGCTCGAGTAGCACCGACAAGCAGTATGATATAACCGTAGCCAAATAAAACCGCAATAAAACACATAATACGATACCGGTAACCTATGACAAGCCCCCAACCTGTAGCAAATTTCTAAAAATTTAATAAGAACAAACATTCGCTTGGCAAGCGTACAAGTATACAGTAGTCCATCCTCTATTCATGTAACCCTCTATTCATGTAACCCGAAAGTGCCACGACTACTAATTTAAATGCCTAATCCTTGTACCATCGTACTCGAGTAGTGCCCCGCCATAATTAAAGTAGGAAAGGGCAGAGATTTAGTACTGTACGAGCAAACTACCGTAGGAACAACCCACGGTTTTCCGCCATCCCGGCCGAGTCAGGCAAACCTATTTCGTAATACAATGGGGTACGGACCCTTCTACCCACCTACAGTACTCGAGTACATCAAGCTTGAGAAATGCGAAAATATTATACATACATAGCACCCGTGGAAGTCTACAGCGCCCAGGGCAGGGGTAATCTACAAGAATTGGAACAGTCTGCTATCTGAGAGTAATTTCTATACCCGGTACTTCCGTGAGCTCCCGATCCAGATTCTATTCGAGTACAATACACGCTTCATCAATACCCGAGTACTCGGGTATCTGGTAAAAATTCATACCCTTTCCCTGGAGGTTTGCGTGAGTACGCTACTGATGCACTCCCATGCAAAATCGCCTACTTGAGTACATGTTCCGATACTTTACCCCTCGCCCCGAGTTACACCAGATCTATCCATATGACAAGAAGTGTATGGTACTGTACAGTCCCGGCCGAGTGGGGCCCAGGAAAGCATCTCACCAAAAGGAACAGGTACGGCAAACGCCTATTTCAGATTTCAGTGCTATAGCCCAACCCCCGAATACAGTACCGGTGAGTCGACCGATGTCTACTCCACCACCGGAACTGACCCCCATACGGGCACTCATGTGATGGGGTGACGTTCGTGAGCAGGACCGTTGCGTGCCGCCAAACCTCAGCTTCTTCATCCGGCGCCCGCGATCGCTCGACCAAGCCGGTCAACAGGGGAAGCAGAAAAAACGGGAAAAATGAGGGGAGTGCGTATATACAGTACCGCGGTGAGCCATTCCACCGCATACAGCAGGCAGAAGGTCTAATACTGGGTCCGTCTTGTGACCTTCATCTCCTCTCTCCCCGCACACTCGAGAGCTCGTATCATGCCTGTCTCCTGAATGTCATGTGTGTTCCGCCCACCGTATGTGGCTCACTCGTGTCATTTTGAGAAGGGGGGGGGGTTATGGAATGGAAGGGTCTAGATTGCTCCTTTTTGCCCTTCCTCCAACTGGGCTTTCTACCTCGGCGGGGGCATTTCTTCGCAACCAATTGACAGTGCTGGCAATGTTGGGGTATCGTATCATCATGGGGCGGGAAGGGTGAGAAGGACGCTGGGAAAGGTACAATAAGTCACGGTAGGTGGGATAGGCTACGGTACCGCACCTCCAATTAATTATCTGGCGCAAACAATTTGGCAGGAATAGATGCTTTCCAAAGATTACCGGCACTCTTCTGACTTTTAGCGGCATGGACCGATCCACCCGTAGGCCCGCAGGCCTGCAGGCTGGAGCATTGCGTCGGGCCTCATGCGATGCACCTGTTACTACCGACAGGGTATTTTAAGAGTACAGTACCGTACAACTACCGGAGGGGACGAAGAGCACTCGCAGTTTGGGGGCCCCGTAACGACAACTCTGCCCAGTCGGATAGCCAGTTTTCTTGTGGCTCCCTGTGGGATGGTGAGAAGTAAAGGGAACAAAGGTTGATTGTAAGTTTACATTTCAAGCCCCCCCGCTTCCACGATTGTCCGACGGGTCAAGGAGGGGTGGAAGTCATTAGCACGCATACCCTGACCGCAGCACCCAGCCATGCCCCATCGGCAAGACATCGCACCGCATCGGGGAAAGTATGTAATAACCGCTCGGGATAACAGAATACGGTAACAGAGTATCCGGCCAACCAAGGCATCATTCTCGGATCTTACCCGGGAGCAGAGAGCCATGGTGAAAAAGAAAGGAACAAAAAATGGGGCTCGAGAAGCGCACGCGGACAAACCACGTGGAGCTCCCGCAAGTTACTAGTACTCGAGTGCTCAGATATGGACGTGGGTGAGGGCACAGCCAGGGATTAGAGGTGTCAAGGTTTCTTGCTTGTTTGAGCAATTTCCATGCCAAATTCATTCTTTTATTTCCTATGAGAGTAGAACGGCCGACCCCAAGAATTCCTGGCCGTCCGGTCTCCCACGTCCATACCCGAGCAGGTCAGTTCGACAATCGTAATTATGATATCGTAGAACCTTCCATCCACAATCCCGGGAATCGACCCCCACCGGAAGCGGGCCACCGAGAGAGATCCTGAGAAGAAAACTTCACTTGACTCCACCTCGGGCACCCCCTTCTCCTCCGCCTATCCGATCACACCGAAAGACGCGATACCGGTGCCAGAATAAATATTGAAACCGGCACGCCCAGAAAGGCGGGGGAAAAACCCCCCACTTGCGGGCACCAATTATTTCGTTACCAACCTAGCTGGCTGAATGCCGTGGCTCACTTTCCTTCTTTCACTACCGGTACCAGTATCTCTCCCCCTCCTCCCCTACGGCCCCACTTTGAAAACTCCCACCCCGTAGTACTACTGCACGTACCCCCACTAGTTCGGTTGGCAGCGAAAGGCAGGCAGGCAAGAGAGCAAGAGGAAGCCAAAGGCAAAATAACAAGAGCTACAGCAAGGGTATAGTACTCGTACAGTTCTTTTTTCGGATCGTGTTCACAATACAATATCGCACGATAACGGTATCGTAATTTACGAACAGCAGCGCTGGGTGTAATGAAGGGACATGTACGCCAATGGCCTACCTTGCGCACTAGGCTACCAATTATCCTTCTTCCAAAGTAGTTGGAAGGAAGGAAAAACAAAATTACAGAACAAGCTATTTCCGGGCGAATGACAGCTGCAGGACCTAATGCAAATCTCGTACGATTCTTTTCTTTGATGGAATTCACTACAGTGAAAGAGAAAAAGAATGAAAAAAAGAATGAAAAAAAAAAAGTAAGTAAACAGTCCCGGGAATCGCAAGGCTCAACGATACCGGTTACCGGTAGTTGCATTCGTTCCACTCGTTTGATCACGGGGCGCCTGGCAGATCGGTGGATGGTAATCGCCGAGTGGGGCGAGAAAGAATAAAAATGAGAGAACGATCTGGTGTGAACCTCCCGACCCATTGTCCTCGGGTAGTAATTTGTGATTGGTTGAATACCTGTTTTATGAGAACCGGCCTATGGGGAGGGGAGTTTTTATCCTGGTGGTTGCAATAGTCTACTTTTTGCAAAAATAAAGGAATAAAGGGTTGGCTTAGGTATTAGACTTGTGACTTGCTTGCTGCAAGTGATTTTCAGGTACAGTACTCCTACACTCGTTCGTTACACAGGGTTATGGGTTAGGCTTCTTTGGCATGTCCATTTCCATTTGAGTGCCACAGTTTACATTGTATCAGCATCAGCCACTTGGACATCCTTCTGTGACCGCCGATGGGGGGGAACAGAAATGGGGAAGCGGAGAAAGGGAGAGGGGAAAACGTGCCACCTTAAAAAAGAAAACATACGCCGGTTCAATCACGCAAGAAAGAAAGAAAGAAAGAAAAAAGAAAAACAATCAGGCAAGAAATTAACTGCCCCGTATCATCTTCACTGGCCACTCCAACCACTTCCTCCACGGTTCGGGCAGAGTCCTCTCGATCCTTCCCAGCTCATAATTCGCCCGTCCCTCAACCCACCAGAAACTCTCCAACTTCTTCAGCAAAACGCAGTAATGCGCGAATATGATTAATGCTCGCGGCCTGCGTTCTTGGAGTAGAGCGAAGAAGGCATCGGAAACAGATATCGGCCATATGAATATCAGGGACACCATCTTCCTGCGCAGAGCAACCTCGTTGGCAAAGTTCTTCTGCAGCTCGTGAATCGCGCCAAAGTAAGCCTGAGAGACAGCCGAGTCCTTGATCTCGTCCGCGTCCAGTTCCCGCTTGTCGGTGCATATACGGAACAGCGCGTTCATGGCCTCGTCCTCGCCGGCCGAATCGCCGATGTACGTGTGCCCGAGGAGCAGCGGGGATAGACATCCCGCCTCAATCCACGCCCACATCGTCTTCAGTATCGAGTGCACCCCCCGGATGAGCGGTAGCCAGGCCGGCATTGTCCATGGCGGGATCTCCGTCGGCGGGCTGACCTTCTCCGTTAGCATTGGGTTCGCAATTGCGTACACTACGATCAATGTCGAGGAGACGAAGAGGCCTTCGCAATTATCCTTCCCGATTGCCGCTGGGGCGCCAACGCTGTCCTTGACTCCCCGCACTGCTTCGCCGTAGTGGTCTGCGGCAACGCACATCCTCTGAGACCGTTTGTCGGGCTCGATGAACGCGAGGTGCAATGCTGAAATGGCGAGCATAGCATGGACCAAGCAACCCTGTGATTCTCGGAAGGCCAGGCGGGGGATAACGTCCCTCCAGATGGACTCGGCATCCTCCGTTGTAGTAAATGAGGATGGAACTGATAGCGACCAGTGGTGTATAAGCTCCATATCAGTCATGTTGATAACGGGCGAAACGGTAGCAACGGTGCTCTGCGGGAAGATCCCTTGCTGATGCGGTGTGGTGACTTGGTGTTGCCCATTCCCAGGCGGAGGACTAGCATCCAACGTCATAGGATTCGAAGCCGGCAAGTCGGATGAGGAGGAAGGGGCACCCGAAACGACGCCGGCAGGTGGCACGCCGACAACGCTTGAAAAATCGCATTCAATGGCATGCTTGACGCAATTCCCGCAAGAAGGGTGCACCTCGTCGCACTAGATAAAGACCAAAAAGGAATCACCAAACCAAATGTTAACGCCAGTCCACATTCCCCCTAAGCCCGGGAAATACTTTAAGCTTATACCCAGGAACCCTGCCCCCCCGCACCACCTAGCAGCGGCAAGCAGGGCAAGTAGGGCAAGTAGGAGTAAAGAATGGAAAGGACATTGGGACTTTAATCACACCTTTATTCTCCGTTTCTTGCACTTGGCGCATCCCGCCCGTGACTTCGTATGTGTTCTTCTCGGAGGCATTCCCTGCCAACAGCCAACAGTACAGTATTATCACCGCGAAAAAAAAAAAACCGAAATGGAGCAGGTAAAACAAAACGACCTCGTAATCGCTCTCTTACCAAAGGCCGAAAGAAAATGAGAAGGCAAAGGAGCTGGGCAGAAACAAGCGGGGAGATGGGAATATATGAAAGTGCGAACGCGAAAGCGCGCCCGAACGAATACGAGGTGGGATGGCAGGGATTAATGTAGTTGCGTTTTGAGGCAAGGCTCTGCTAGGATGTCACGCCGAAAGATGACACTGTCACGCCGTGATGTGCCTTGTGCGAGTATGATACGAACTGGAGATGGTGGATGTCCTAAGATCGCCTAACTTTGAATGACGAAGACTCCTGAACAATGACACGGTTCCCAAATATAAAGCAATTAAGTGATAGAAGCTGGAGGATAATATAATAGAAGCGAATTCAATAAGTTAGGTATAGAGTTTTGGTTCAGCTATTGGTGTTTGAAAAAAGAGGCAGTTAATGGGATATTGGCAGGCCCATTGTTTATGGTTAATGGATCAGTTAATATTCCAAGATGCTGAATTTATCGCCTATTAATTGAAAATAGGAAAGAAAAACTAGGTAAATTTAGTTAATCTATAATTGGCCTAAGATTAGTAAGCCAACATAGATGGTTCTGCCGACGGTCTAAGTACCGGTAGTCCTCCACCATGACACCAGTTGGGCTCGGGAAGATTACTAAGTCTGGGTCGTCAAATCGAAATCTCACATGTAAATAACGTGATGCACCAGCTGAGAGACACAGAGGGCCGGGGGCGATGATGGTGTGATGCACAGCTCCAGCTAATTACAAGGGACAGGTATAAATTCATGGTACAGAGTAGGGGGTAAGAATGTAAATTTGGAAAGAATTCATGGAACAGGACTACCAGGTGAGCTGACAGTGTTAAATAATATAACTTGATCACACGATACCCAACAACCAGGTTTCTCCATAGCTTCTAAGTAAAAAGAAAAAAATATCAGCACTAAAAACATGAATGTGACCAGTTTGACTTAATATAGTAGCATGACAAGAAAAGGTATCACGGCTATTAGAAAAAATAGCTAGCAATAAAAATATAGATTTGAAGCATAAATAGTCGAATAGGTTCAACATCTAAGTGAAAGGTAGTCAGAGCACTTTGCCACAACAATGGCTTCCTACGGGTTTATCGCAACAGATCCTCCTGATACTAGGGCTCTATCTTCTCTACTTATGAGTTTTTCATTCTCAGCCTATTTATCTCATAATAAATCTAAAACAACAACTGAATCGCCTGAATCCCTCCATTCATCTTCTTCTCAGGATCTTACTCCTACAATGCCACTTACTCTTTCACTCTCCTCTCTATCAAATCCATTCTCTCCAGAATCATCAACGATCTTATCCTTATCAGGTATTTTTTTCTCTTTCTGTTTATTTATATTCTTTAGTACTTATGCTTCTATTCATTTTTCAGAATTTTTAAATTAACTAGTGTATCTGGTTTATTAAAATAGAATTATACTATTAGCCAAGCATTTCTTCTGTCAAAATAATGTTCTCTTTAATTTTTTCTTAAAGAGGAGGGAGACTTGTTTTGTGGGAGAAATAAAACCTAACCCTAAATCTTCCATCTTCCACTCAACCTCCTCTAACCTAACACCTCCACTTCTATTTTTTCTACTTTGTCAAATCCACTGACTACCACAGTTTCTTTCTTTTTATGCCTCTATTACTTTCTACATTTTTTCTATTTTTTATTTCTCAGTTAACATTAAAAACTTTTTCTTCACCTTTTTCTTCTAAATTGTTTATCTCTACAACTTTTATTCTGTTATTTTTACTCTTTTTCTTTCTCTAACTTATATTATACTTTGTTTTAATTTTTAATTTTGAGTGGTAATTTTTATTTTAATTGTTTCTCACTCTTTACATTATTTGATTATTTGTATTAGGTTTATACAATCGGTTCCTATTTTTTTTTATGACTAATGTTTTCTTCAATTATGCAAGAGAGTTTATTGTTCTGATTGCTAACAGATTACACAAGACGCAGAAGACTCCGATGACTCCAGTTCGACTATCCAGACTCTACCAACAAGCCTACAAATTGAATCAGATAATTCACCTTAGGTTGACATTCCTGATGGTGAAACTTCTACTATCAGCCATGAGATTTCTCCTTCACTGTGTTTCAAGATTCGAGTATTGAAGCGGTTTGCCAAGTGGACATATAGAAATATTTCAACAGTTACCAGAGTGGTCCTTAACATTGTTTTTCAAATTTGCCGACTTCTAATTACCCATAAACAACCATCCACTTGTGGCCGCAAGTACCATCTTGGTTTAGAAAAGAGAATAAAGCTAATCACACTTGCTACTGCTTCTGCAGAGAATTGTTGAAAGCTCCTGACGGAAATTGCCTACATGGTGAGAATTAATGCTTCTGAAAAGACCTTAAGACACTCTTTGACTTCAGAAGTATATCACAGACGTGTTGCTTGAGTCAAGCGTTATCTTAAGTCTTCTCATTTGAAATTAAGCATTGCATTTCCATTTTCTCTCTCTTTTCCTTTCTTTCCATTTTTTTGTTTGTTTTTCTTTTTTGTTTAAACGATTTCTTTTGTTTTTATTTTTTACTTGTATTTTCTACAATTGCTAGTTATCTAATTTTAAATCAATTTAATTATATTTACATTTTAATTCAAGTTTATCTTATTATCTCCTACTTTATTTTATTGAAATACTTAACATTATTTATATTAATTATTAACAAACTATTAATTTTTAGGCTTGAAAGGATTGGGCCCTTCAGTTTATAAGCTGGAAGGTCGAGGATTGGAGGAAGATGATATAGACTGACAAGAGTACCTTCAATGTTAGAGGATCACCTGGCCAGGTCTATGTTACTTGAACCGCAACAGAGGAGTTCTATTAGTCGTGTCTACAGCCAAACTTTAAAAAGCTAGAGACTATTCATGTTTGGAGATGTTTTTACGGAATGTAGAAAGAGCTATTGATATTTTGGAACAAAAGCTCAATGGGAAAACAATTAATGCGAGGTGGTATTGTGAGTATATTGTATCGCAGCTGACTAGACTTTGGTATGATATCTAACAAGAAACTGAAGATTATGTTTATATTGTACAGGACAGGACTTGCTCCCATACAGCTAACAATACAAAAGAGGTATATTGTAACGATCCCTCCTTGGATAGTTAGTTCTTGGCGACAGGGAATGATACTTCTCTTCTTCTGTTTCTTTCCTTATTCTTATGATAGCACTAGGCCTCTACCTACATTACCGATAGTACAAGACTTTTGTCTTCTATCGGGAATGCCTATCGTAAGCTTTCTCTAACTCTTCTTTGTAAAGAACTTTCCTTAGCGTAATAATAACGTTGTAATAGAGATAAAGATCGTAAAGGTGTTTTATATTAGTTAAAGTAATAAGTAGGAAAAGTACTTACAAGTCAATCTAATTTTATTTAAACTCGTACCGCCAACACTGGCATACGACGAGCCCCCACTGGTACAGGGATACCGCTAACTGGTATGCCACTAATCCTAAGCTAATCAGGTCTATGGCTCCGCACCTGCCATCCCCGAGTCATGCCCGCACGAGAACTAATTACAAGACCATCAAACAACCCAACGCCCGCTCCGGTCCGAGTCCGTAGTCCCTCTGGTATGAAGCCAACCAGCACCAAGTATAGCCGAAGCCGAGTAAGAGACTGATCCAACCAGATTCCTCGTCTAATAAAATATAAAATCACTACTGCCCAGTCTGAACACCGTCCCGCAAAACCTCCACCACAGTGAAAAACCAACAAAAAACCACCAAACAAATACAAACTACAGGCGACACAATGGCAGAGAGGAGGTGACCAACATGTCCATCTCTCGCATCTGCATGCCTGGCCGTCGACCCTATGAACCCACTTTGCCAAGTGCCTCTGAAGAGCGTAATGGTGAGGAGGATCTGTACTTGCTACCTGTCCCCCAAAACAAACACATAAACAAAAGAAATACATGGAGGTGGTAACAGACCTAAATGGTCAGTGGGGCCTATCTCCTACCCGTGGTTCCTTGCCCCCGCCAGCCATGCCCATTGCCAAACCAAAGAAACTAAACAAACTCCACAAAACCCAGCACGCAAGACCCAAACAAGTCCAACCAGGTGGTCGCAACCCACTATCTGCACAGGTAGCCATTAACCATCCGGGTCATCGAGGAGCATTGCAGCACTCAGCAGCTTCACCCAACAGCCCTATCAGGCCGGAAACAATTAATTAGACATCGCCCAACCTGACACATGCCCGACCGGTGCTCGCAGGCGCCTCTCCCCCTCCAATCAGCCCCCTCCAAGCCCCACACACCAGGCACCACAGAGCCCATCCAGCCCCCTCAGCCCCTCAGACAGATCAACCATCCAATAGCCACAGGTCAGCATATATCCAGCCCTGCCAGGCAGCCATTGGTCTTGGCCACACGAACAGAGTCCCAACCCTCGGCACCATATAGCGGAGGGGGGCCTATCAGCCACAGCCGGGAGCCACAAAGGAGGCAGCACCAATATCCGAAGGCATCGGTACCAGCTACACCATCCAACCCAGCCAAACTGAAGTCCAACCGAGTCAGGAAAGAGTAAGCAGAGCCAGCCAAAGCCAGCCCCACAGGTCCGGCAACAGGCACAGACCGAACGACAAGCAAGAGGCATCCCCAACTGACACGACAAGAAGGGGGAGGGTGAATGAACAGGAGCAGACAAATGGAAGGTAGGCACCACTTGCAATGGTTGAAGCCGCCAACCACAGACCACAATTGAACTACCCAGACGCACAGACAACGCGAGTGCCTGGTAGCCAATTGTCCCACACCACCCCAGGCGGTAACAATAGCCACACCAGGGGGTAAGGATTTTCAGGGTCAAAGCCATCTCCACATATGCGAGGAGGAGATGCCTGACTTAATCACCGTAAATGCCGTAAGGACAAAAACTCCAAGGGAATGGCGATAAACAACATCGTAGGATTCTGACCGTAGAAACGAAAACATAACGAAGAGGGGCTGGGTAGGTACAGCCCTGCCACCTGAGGAATGATGCGGCCGGTATGACAAGTTGATACTTGGGAAGGTCATCAGTCTAACCCAAGGGTGTTTTGTATCGCGAGAACTAAGGACTCCATTAAAACCCAACAAAAGGCATGTGCTAGCCTAAAGAACGACACGGGTGATTCCCCCAAATACAATGTTCAATCCCCCCAATTGAACGTGAAACCTGCGAGTAGACGATAGGCAGGAAGCCGTAGACATTTTACCAAAAGGGGCTCGTATGTGACCTTGATGAAGAGCTCGAAGTGGCAGTATCGTGAGAAACAATCAGGCGACGAAATGAGAAGCAAATAAGTAGTCCACCATGCAA